CAACTAAAATACACCCCACTTTCCATGTTTCTCTTCTCAAAAAGCATCATGCCCAAAACTTACCCCAGCTTAACCCTGACCAACCTATCATCAAAATACCAGCTGCTGTCATTGATAAAAGAAGTGTGAAGAGAAGGAATCATGCTGTGGTTCAATGGCTTGTCTAGTGGGATCAACTGCCTGTGGAAGAAGCCACCTGGGTGGATGCTGACCAAATTGAGAAGCAATTTCCTAATTTCGATCCTTGGGGTCAAGGATCACTTAATGGGGGAAGCTTTGATACAAGCACTTTGTTACTGCAGGGATAGAGTAGCAACAATCTGAGCAAAGAGCTGGCAAAAGGAGCTGAGTCAGCTGACAAGTCAGAAGGAGAGGGAGATAAGATCGAAATGGATGCTGATTGGGATCAGGTTATTACAGAGGAAGGTGCAGCATCTGTAGCAGGGAATAATCAAGGGACCAGTAGCCGTTAATTTGTCATGTCCTTAGTCCTTTACATGTCATTTGTCTTTTGTATGAGTCAGCAGTAGTCTTTGTAATCCCACATTTGTGGAGGGAAATGTTTTTTCCATATTTATATATTGTAGTATGTTTGTACTACTTAGTTGAGTGACTTGGAGGTGGGTGTTGTACCACACACACGCGCGAGCCGAGTTGGGTCGGGCTCGGGCCTCAGGACTTGGAGAATGCGATGTGTGGGCGTGGGTCCTTTTATTTTTTTTGGAGGAATTTTATTTGACAGAATATTCCTTATTTATTCTAGCCGTTTTTTACTGTTGGGATTCCCGGATTGCTAGGAAATTGTTTAGCCGTTAATCCCTTGATTACAACTAACCGTTACACCCCTTGATTATTGCTCTTGACTGACCAAGTTAATCTGAACAGTTTTTTGGCCAGGTTCATCTTTGTTTACGGAGTGTAACGGGAAGCTGTTTCAGCCTTAATTATATGGTCGTTTCTTACTCCTTCCCTGCTAACCGTTGCTCCTCCTTGCTGCCTATATAAGCTCAGTTTCTCTTCAGTGAAAATACACAGAAAAAACTCATACCTCTCTCTCTTCTCTTAGCATACTAAACACTGTTCTTAATTTTTTTCTAGGCAAGTATTCTGAATTCCAGTCGGGTTTGTGAGTGCACATAAACTCCGTGCTTATCCTGGAGGGCGACCGCTTCTTGTCTACTGCACCGGGAGGTAGCGCGAAATCGTCTTTTAGGTTAGTGGTTCACCATGACACGGCTACTGTTTTTCTGGTTCACGCATCAAGAGATAAGTTTACTGTTTTATTGCCTTTATAATTAGTATCATATCAGTTTAACAATGGGAGCGTATGTAATGGAGGAGGGGGAGTGCTCTCACCTACCCAATGGATAGATTTGGTTTCTGGAATGTTAGGGGCCTAAATAAGGCAGGATAAACAACTTGATGTCTTATGGTTTCTGAGATCGACATAATAATATAGGCTTGTTCGGGCTCCTAGAAACTAGAGTAAAGGCTAGAAAATTTGCTAATGCCTTTACTTTATTTGGTAGTGATTGGAGTGTAGGGGCTAACTACTCTACTCATTAGGGTGGTAGAACGTGGGTTTATGGATGCTTGCTATTTTTCAAGTTACTGCCTGCTTTGTTTTTAATCAAATTATTCATACTAAAGTGGTTCACAAATCTTCTGGTTTGAGATTTTTCATGTATGAGTTAAATGATGGTAAGGGTAGGGAGAGACTTTGGAATGCTTTAAGAGCTATAAATGTGGGGATAAGAGATCCTTGGGTAATTGGGGGTGACTTTAATGTCCTTAATTTGCAGGATTGAATTGGGGCTCCCATTACCTTGGGTGAGGTGGAGAATTTTAAGGCTTGTATTGCTAATTGAGAGTTGTTAATTCTTATTGAGCTTATTTTTCTAAAATTAGCGAAAATATAATGAAAAAAAAAACAGAGCCTTTGTTTGAAAATTTGTACTGTCATTAACAAATTTAATTTCTAACTCTAATTTGTCTTTATAGAATATGTATATCCTAATGTTGTCTAAAATCTTGAGTTTATTTAATATTTGCATTTAAAGTTGGTTGACGGTGGTCTAACTCATTCATAATAAAAAAAGAAAATGTTAACAAAGATCCTTTTTATTTAATAATATTATTAAGTAGATCCCTAGTTTTCTTGAAAATAATCAAAAAACCCCAAACCATTTCAATTGAGTAATATGTTCCATTCCTTGCAAAATATTATGGTTTTCTTGCTGATGAACTAAGAGCCATTGTCAGTAATCATTTCTGATGGCATGCTGGATCTACACAATATGTGCCTTTTGATTAATGAAATGACATGTTTGTCCTTGATGTCCTTGTTTGCTTTGGCTTCTATCCACTTGGAGAACTAATATGTCATTGCCAAGAATTATACTCTTTTCCCTGATGAGGGAGGTAATTTGACTATATCCATTCCCTATTTCATGAATGGCCATGGAAATAGTGTTGGGTGCAGCTCTTCGGATGGTTGATGAGTTAGTGGCGCGTGCTTCTGACATGCAAGGCATTTCTAGTGAATTCTGTTGCGTCCTTTCTCATGCTAGGCCAATAATACCCCATACTGAGAGCTATGTTGGCTAAGTTCCTTCCTCCTGAATGATTCCACATTCTCCGATCCGCTGTGTAGGGATTGTAAGACATGTTGTATTTCTTGTTTCTCTAAGCACCTTAAGTATGGACCACCTGCAGACTTTTTGAAGAGTACATTGCTGATAAGGCAGTACTTGGATGCCTTCATGGAGAATGTGTGCGCAACTACCTTCCCTTTTGGTGTTACTTTGTCAATGAGGAAGTCTTTAAAGTGTTTGGTCCAACTATCTTCTTCATTGGTATGGTTTGCTTGGACTTCATAGATGTTCATGGTTGATTCCTTTTCGATGGCTGGAGACATGATATGTACTAATGGTATTGCTCCAAACTCATCAGGATTGATGTTGGATCCAAGTTTAGCTAGCGCGTTTGCCTCAGTGTTCAAGTTCCTAGGTACTTGTGCGATTTTGAAATCTTCGAATTCCTTTATGAGGTTTCTTGCTACTTCCAGGTATGCAACCATCTTGGTATCCTATGCTGCATATTCACCGTTAATTTGGTTTACGATGAGTATGGAGTCAGAAATTACCTCTAGGTGTTTTATTTTCATGTCCCTAGCAATGGTCAACCCTGTGATTAGTGCTTCGTACTCTGCCTCGTTGTTGGTGGCTTTGAAATTGCACCTTACAACTTGAGCAATCTTGTCTCCTTGGGGGGAATTCAGTACTATGCCTAAGCCTACACCTCGTATGTTTGCTGCACAATCTATGTGAAGCCTCCATTTTTGTGCGGTTTGGGCTCTTGGAGGGACAATACTTCTTTTTGTGCTTCATGCTCGAGTGCTGGACTGAAATCCGCCACGAAGTCTGGCAAGGCTTATGACTTGATTCCAGTTCTACGCTTGTATTAAATATCATACTTATTGAGATGGATCATCCACTTTTCCATCCTTCCTAACATTTCTGGTTTTCTCAGGATAGCCTTAATATGGTAATTAGTACGCACACATATAATATGACTTTTAAAGTATGGGAGTAACTTAATTGAAGAAGTGACTAAGGCTAAAATGGTTTTTACTAAGGAAGCGTACATGGTTTCCGCACTGAGTAAGGTTTTACTTACATAATAGATTGGAAACTGCTCCTTGTCTTCTTCCCTGGTGAGGACTGCACTGATTGTCCCTTCTAATACTACTAGGTACAGTTGGAGTGGCTCTCCTTCCTTGGGTTTGGAAAGTATCAAAGGATTTGCTAGGTACTCTTTTAGCTTTTGGAATGCTTCCTCGTGCTCTTGCTCCCACTTGAACTCTTTATTCTTCTTCAGCACATCGTAAAATGCCTTGTTCTTGTCTAATGACTTGGAGATGAACCTGTCCAGTGCTGCTATTCTTCCAGTAAGGCTTTGTATATCCCTCTTGGACTTTGGTCTTTCTAGGTCGAGTATGGCCTTGATTTTTTCTAGACTGGCTGCTATTCCTCGCTGTGTTACCATGTAAGCTAAGAGTTTGCCTGACTGGACTCTGAATGTACACTTGGTGGGGTTTAGCTTCATGATGTACCGCTTCAGGATGGAGAAGGCCTCTTTGAGATCTCTGACGTGATCTGTTGCTTTCTTGGATTTCACCACCATATCATCAATGTATACCTCCATTGTATTTTCGATATGTTTCTCGAACATCTTGTTGACTAGTCTTTGGTATGTTGCTCCAGCATTCTTCAATCCGAAAGGCATTACCTTGTAGCAGTATATTCCTTGATTAGTTATGAATGCTTTCTTTTTTAGTCATCTTTATGCATGAGAATTTGGTTGTACCCACTGTATGCATCCATGAAGGAGAGTAACTCATGACCTACTATTGCATCTACCATAGCTTCAATGTGAGGAAGTGGGAATGGATCATTTGGGCAAGCCTTATTGATGTTTGTGAAATCGATGCATATTCTCTATTTCCCATTTTTATTTCTGAGTACTACCACGTTGGCTAACCAGTCTGGGTACTTAACCTCTCTAATCTTTCCAGTTTTGAGCAAATTTTGAATTTCTTCATTAATCACTTTGTTCCTTTCTGGTGCGAATTTTCTTCTTTTTTTGCTTTACGGGCATGTGCTTTGGGTCTACGTTCAACTTGTGTGTAATTACATCTGGAGTGATTCCCTTCATGTCTTCATGCGTCCATGCGAATGCATCTTTCTCTGCTTCCAAAAATTCTAGGACTTGCTTACTGAGATCTTTGCTCTACTCTACTCCTATTCCTACTTTCTGATCAGGATGGTCTAGGTTCAGCTGGACTTCAATTGCTTCTTGCTCTTCTCCTATGTTGATCTTTTCTTGGCCCAACTGAATCTCTGATTTTTATGCTGACCCTTTCACTGCAGATGTTGCTTTCAAGGCTATCTTGTAGCATTCTTTGGCTTCCTTTGGGTCTCCCTTAATTTCTTGATACCCTATTTGGTGGGAAATTTGATGATTTGATGGTATGTAGACAGGATGGCTTTCATTTCATGTATCCAAGGTCTGCCCAAAATTATGTTGTAGGATGACAGAGTATCGATCACTAGGAACATCACTTGCAGATTGATCCCTTTTGCATAGGTAGGCAATGTAATCTCTCCAATGGTCTTCTTAGTTTCTCCATTGAATCCGACAAGCATTGTTAACTTGTTGATGATGTATTTCTTGTCAATGCTCATATGTTTTACTGTATCGAGCATAATGATGTTGGCTGAACTTCCATTGTCAACTAGGATCCTCTTGATTAAGTAGTTTCTGACTGGCAGTAATATTACTAGGCCATCATGGTGCCCTTCCACTGCATCACTTTCCTCAAATATGATTGGAATATCTATCTTTGCATGCACCTTCTTGGTTGGCTTGTTCATGTTACTTTCTTTGGTGTGACGCTTTGCTGCTGAGTACGTCAAACTGCACACTTCTGATCCTCCGGAGATGAAATTGATTGTTTTGACTATTGGAGGAGGAGGCGAGGGTCCACCTTGATTGGACTCTCTTTCTCTGCCTAGGGCTTTAGACCTGTCCGCCATGAGTTCCTTGAGATATCCTTTCTTCAGCAAGTAGGCAACCTCCTTTCTAAGCGCCACGCATTCATAAGTAGTGTGCCGCCCAATATCTGAATGGAAATCACACCACCTTGATGGATCTTTCTTTTCTCCTGGCTTGTCGCTCTTCCTAGGCCATTGCACGGTATCTCCCATTTTGTTCAGGGTCTTAATCGCACCTGCACGGTTAACATTAAAACAGTATTTATGTAACTTAGGAGGTAGTTCAGGATCTTCCCTCTAATATGTGAATTCTCCTTCGACAGCATTAATTGTTCCCTCCTCAAAGCGGGATCGCTGATATGGCTTGAATCTATGATCCTTTCTGGGAAAGTTGTTGCTCCTTCTTGATGAACGATCTGGTTTAGGAGTCTTCCTTGCATAGACATCTTCTTCAAAACCTAACTTGGGCCATTGCTTTGGCTTGAACAGTCTCGAAACTTGTGCAGAGATACTTGGTCAATTCTTTATAAAGCTCGTTGTGGTCCAATAGTCCTCTTCTAAACGCTTCAATAGTTATGGGAGCGTCGCATTTATGTATTCCAATCTTCTCCCTATTGAACCTGTTAAGGTAGTCTCTCAAAGATTCTCCATGCCTTTGCACGACTTTATACAGATCTGAAGATTTCTTCTCGATAGATCTTTCTACTGCTAGCGAACTGGATTTTCAATAGATTGACCATCCTGCAAAAGATCGAATAGTCCCACTATCTAAATTAATGAACCAAGTTAGGGCTGGACTTGACAAGGTGGCTCTAAAGCCTTTACACATGATTGCCTCCCTGATATCTCTGGAGATTGAGCTGGTCATCATTTTCTGTTTGTAGAGGGACACGTGCTAATTAGGGTCTGTTGTATCATCGTACATGGCCATGCTGGGCGTGATGAACCTTTTTTGCACTTCTACCATGGAGATCTCTTCTGAGAAGGATGATTCTATGTAGCCATCTGCGGCCTCTTCCTCCATGGGCTTCGGCACTTTGGGGATCTTTGCAATCTTGGCCTCGAACGCCTTGAGTCTTGACCACCTTTTCTATCTTTCCCTCCTCAGTTCTTGCTTGCTTGCTCTTTTAGAAAGTACCTGCATCAATAAAACCTTCATCTAGGGTTGCGTCCCACTTGTTAAAACTTTTTCCCCATTAGTAGGGGTATGGAAAGCTCCTGATAGATCGAGCTGGATGGCTATGCCTTCGGTATTCGTTCTGAAATTGGCTATTTTGGATGCAACTGATTGTATTTGGTTGCGGAGGGCTTCATTTTGTTTGGTTAGGCTAGTGAGTTTGGCCTCAGTTTGGACATTTTGGGCCAATAAGGTCTCGATCTGACTTTTCTATTGGTTTAAGGTTTGGAAAAATGCATTCATTCCTTCATTGATTTCGGCTATAGTGAAGGGTACCAGTTGTCCGGTCATGGTTGGAAGGTGTTTTTGCTCTTTTGGAGAGTTTTTGACAGGTTAACTGATTATCAGCCCCACGGTGGGCGCCAAATTGTTTATGGCAAATCTTAGTGGTATAGTTCTAGGAATTTGCTTAAGGTTTTAGGGGTAATAACAATCAAACCTGCAATTAATAATCACAATAACCAAGAACAATAACAATAAAGAACGAGTAAAAATAACAAGGAAATAATAGTATAGAGACAATACTGAGTAAGGATGGGCTCCTTGATCAGAATAGACACAGAATTCGTAACTTGCATATATTTCAAGTATTAGTGTATGAATGAGGTTGTACATATGTTGCTAGCTATTTATACCTACGGATCCCTAGGGTTTACAAGTACTTACAGAATATATTCAAATAAGAAGGATCTTTGTTTGATTATTCTTCTTTCCTTGCGGCATTATGTATTTTTGGTATGCTTTCCTTGCTGACAAACGGATTGAGTCCCTTTCCATACTTGAGTCAATCAAGCTGTTTAGCTTGATTTCTCTTTATTTTCTTGCCTCTTGGATCTTTTGACCGTGCCCTACATCTTTTGGGCTCCTTGAGTGTACGGGCCCTACAATCTTTCAATATAGAATAAAGTAATTCATCAATTACATTCTAATATATCATGTAAAATTGATACATACTCATTGTTTCTTAATCATAAAAGGAAACATTTTTAACTTTTCAAATTACCTATGCTTCATATAAAAAAATTATTTATAAATTATATACTATTAAAAAAAGAAGAAGAAGAAAAAAAAAAGTGAAAATCTTAAACTTCAAAAATATATATATCATATATAAGTCTTACAAAATGAACATCGTCTTTTAATTTAATACATTTGGTATAAATAAAACGTATACAGAATTATTCTCCTTGCTGTGGCTTGTACCCCTTCTACTCTTATTTATGTTTGTATGCTTTCCTTGATAGATATTTTTTTCTCAATATATACATTATCTTTTAATTTTTTATTTCATTATCCTGTAAAAGATCAATTTTTGTAAGAAAATGTTAGTTACGATCAAAACACATAATAAACATATAACTAATCGTCTTCCCTTTCTTTTAAAAAAAATATACCAATCGTCTTTCCCGTTCATCCAGGGATAGCGACGGGTCGGATCTGGACCGGGTCCGGATGGACCCGGATCCAGATCCGTTTTTGTATCTAGGATCTAGATCCGACCCGAATATGTCGGGTCTGGAAAATGGAGACCCGGATCCAGATCTGACGGGTCCAACGGATCCGGGTCCAAAACTGGTCCAATATATTTTGCCTAATTTTTTGCAATAAATGTAATGTTTGGGGTCAAAAAATGCATTTCAAACTTTCGTCGAGGGTTATTAAGTTCAACAACTAATCTAAAAATACAAAGTAACCAACTTTTACGCTTATATTTTGTAATAAAAGTTATAAACAACGAAAAATGTACGATGTTACAAATGAGCAAGTGAAAAAACAACGATTATGTATCCGATATGAGCATCCAAAATTCATCTCTTGAAAAGGCTAATCTTTATAACTACTAACATCATTAACATTTTTAATAAAGAAACAAACAATTTTAATTTTTTGTTTTAATAGGAAAATTAAAAAACGGGTAAATGGATCTGGGTCCGGGTCTAGGGGCCAGACCTGGATCCAGATCCGTTTTTCTCAACAGAGCCCGGATCCGACGGGTCAAAATGTTGAAGATCCAGATCTATAAAAACGGATCTGGATCCACGGATCCGAGTCGGGTCCAGATCCAGTGCCACCCCTATTCATCCTCCTCTCACCTCTCTATTATTACTGCTGCTGTTGAACTTTTCGTTTTGGTTTGCTAGAGCCATTCTTTCTTCTTTCTTTCTTTTTATCGCTCCAATTTTTTGGCCCAAAATAGATTTGTGATTGTAAGTCAAAACAGTACGGAATGATGTTTTGGATGTCTGGATACTGGGTTTCGTCGTTTCGAGCTATTAGGAGTCGAATCTCAATTTTTTTTGTTAATTTTGAAATTTCAAGACATTCCAACTTTCTTAATTTGGGTCTCTTTTCAATTCTGTTCTAAATTAAAATTTTAATATTGGGCATTTTGTTGTAAATTATTTGTATCTGTATGAATTTATCTAGGTATCAATTGATTATTCATGGGTATTTTGCTGTCGTGGGAGATGGTTGGGCGTGGAGGGTGATTAAGCGGCCGGCAAGCTGTGGCGTTGGGATGTTGCTGCTGGCCGTCTGTTGGCAAGGATGGGTGGAATCGGATTAGCAAATGGTGTTTTTGCAGGTGGTGGATGGTTGAGTGCGTGAGGTTGGAGATTGATTCATTCTAAGTATTCATCATGGACATTGTAATGTCAGAATGTCGAGGATTGTAGGGAGAAGAAGAAACCATGACACTAATCTCAGTGGGACCAAATCATTTTGCTCATTTGTAGGATAATTTTGGGTTATTTAGTGAAGATGATGGTAACTCATCAACAGACAAATAATCCCGCTACAAAGCTCACTTGCCTCCTAAAAGCCTAAAAAAACTCCCTCTTACTTTTCCCTCCTAAAATTTTAGCTTCCCACTTTTATTTTATGGGACTTGCTTATTTGACATAATATTAGTGATAGGTTTTTTTATTTTATTTTTTTATTTTTTTAAAAAATAATAAGAAGAAATAAACATTAGAAAACCCTCCTCATGAGGGGAATTTCTAATGTAATAATATTAGTAATAGTGTATAAAAGTTATTTGTACACTAAGTCTACATGTATATACTGTATACTTTACCCCAAATGACAGCAACTCATGATTTAGGTAAGAGAATCTTTAATTGCTTACAGTACTCTCTTCTTGTCTCAGTGAAACTTTTAACTTTTTAGAGCATGAACAATGAGGATTATTGTCCTCTTAGAGCAAGATTATTGGAGAGGATATATGTCCTCTTGTGTGGGGTTTTTGCTGATTTGGAGTATTCCTCTTTGATGTTGGGTAATGTAGAGGATCCTCAAGGGGAAGAGGATTTTCAACAATCCTCTTTTGGCAAAGGATTGAGCACCTTGTCCTTGGTGCCAAGAGGATGAAGTGTCAACCTTTTATTTGTTTTTTTGTTACATAATTTTACTAATTCAAAAAAAAATTATAACGGTAACATATTTTTAAAAACTAATTTTACCAATGGTTGTATTTTTTTTTTCTCTATAAAATGAACCTAATTTTGGCCATTTTTATGCACTTCAATTTTGCATCTTTTTCACTCATTCCTCTCTTTCCTCTCTTTTTATAATTTTCTTTTGTAATGGATGAAAATAATCATAGTTATGGAAGAAATATGAATTTGGCAAAATATTTGTGGCAAGATTTTAGCATACTAGTAATCAGTAAGGGAAAAAGAGGATAATTAGTTATTTGTCTTTTATTTCTTGTATTTGTTGTACTTTAGTGTATCAATTAGTGTTTTTATTCCTAATTTCATGTGTTATTGTATCAAAATATTGGTAAAGTATGCTAATTTTTATTATGTATGCTAATTATCGAATCCTAATTATTAATATTATTATCATTATTAGACCTTATCATTAAATAAATCAATAAAAAATAATATTTCACAAAGATAAAATTTGAAGGTGGGGCCATATTTATAGTATAAAATATATCAAGAGGATACCCTTTGATATGGGAAAAATATATGGAAGAGGATGGAAGAGAGGAAAGAGATAGTGGAAAATGAGGTGCATGAAATAGAGTATG